AGTTTGCGGCTATACCAAGTGAAGTGACCTTTTCTACACAGCCAAAAACACCCAGAAAAAAACAGAGCTGTTTTAATTTGACGTTTCAGTCATTTTGCTCTAAGAAACGCTCAAAGAACGCTCTCCAATTTCTTTTTTTTTTTGGAGGGGGGAACTCATTTCGACAAGACACGTTTTGAAAATCTTGCTGTTTGTTTTCATTTCCACTTCTGTTTAGCAGGTCATGTACCATTCCCCCTTAATAGCTATGTTTTTTTTATGTAGTCTGCTGGCCTCTAAGTACAGTATACAGTGCCTTATCAGGGAGGGCAGTATAATTTTTGTGATCACTAAAGTATAGTTTTACTAAAGGGTAGTTTTAAAATTGTGTAGCAATGCACAAAATTTAAGCCCATCTAAGGGATACTCAACCTTGCCCTCTTGCACTCCGCCTTTACACATACAAAGTCTTTTGTAATGGACGCATTGCGTACAGCCTCCTCGAAAAGAACCCCTGGTCTTGTCAGTGTAGAATGTCGACGATTGATTGAGCATTGTGCGATTGTGATTTGATTTTGGGGAAAAAACCGACATAGAAAATAAAGTGACCTTTATTCCCCCCCCCCCCCCCGAATGTTTGGACTTTTTGATTTCGTAGTTTTTGGCCTCCAAAAGAACCTTCATTGTTCTGTCAGTATAGAATTTCGATGATTGATCTCACGCAAAATGTAGATTGTCATAAAAAATATGAACACAATCTGATATTGTGTGTATTAGTGAATGCAATACATGTATATGCCCAAAATACGCAGCACATTGAGTTTTGAGCAGAGGCGTAGCAAGGTCATTTTATGGGGGGGGGGGGGGGCAGCGCTAAAAAGTTCGTGAAAAGGGCACTCGCACATCCGTGCTGAAATGTAGACAGGTTTTCTTTTCCGGAAAAAAAGTGGGGAAGGGGGTGGGGATGGTTGCTGGTTGGTACCATATTCCAATAGGGGCGTCAGTCAAACCGGACGATCATGCACACTATCGCACAAAAGATGGCGCATTTCAGGCGCGAAATTCTAGTGCCAAAAAAGGGCACCATAAGACCGCTGTTTACAAAAATAAAGGGCACTTGTTAAAATAAAACACTGTTTACAAATATTGGGGAAAGGGGGTAAATGCTGGTGAAAAAGGGAATTTTAATGGAAAAGGGCAGTCTTTACAAAATGCGTGGGGGGGGGAATACCCCCTTACTCCCCCGGCTATGCCTCTGTAAGACCCTTATTTGTTGTTACTGTAGATAAGGTAAGGCTCGTGATATCGTTATACAGTCAGTTTCTTGTTCAGCATGTTTAGGTTTAACTATTTTTAAAACCCCCTTTTTTTATTGAAAACGTGTCTTTCCCTGCATGACCCGAAAACAACTTGTTTTGGGCACTGTCTGATCGTCTTTTACTTTATGTGCACCTATTCCCTACATCCTTGTTCATATCTACAGATCCTTAAGCTGACTTTTCTTGGTTCGACATCTTGACAATCATGATAGCAATCCGGGCAGTGTTTCTATTCATCTGTTTAGACCCAGTTCTTGGGAGCGGTCTCCAGGACGGTGGGAATCAGGATGCATACCTAGAGGAGCTCTTGCAGCGTATGCTGCAAGCTCGCGACGCAAAACTCTCCGAAGGAAACGACTTGCTCGAAAGACAAACCATGGTGAGATGAATACAGTGATATGGGCCTTATGCCCGAGTTGGCCATTTTGTCGAGTTCCCTGAATGTATTTCAGTAATTGTTAACTGTTGAATGGGATGGTGCCAGACTATTCACGCAGGCATAATGCAGCCTCATTTTAATCTGGAAACATTACAGAATGTTTAATTACAAATTTTAAATTATTCATTGAAGCAGACTGGAATTAATAAGTAATTGACTTACTTTCATTTCTCTTCGCAAGTTCTGAAAATTAAGATTTTACCTCACTTTCAATTGAATTCAATATGGCCGACTCGTGCATAAGGCTCATACAGATAACGACAAGGACAATGACAACTAATCCCACTGATTTACTTGAACACGACCACAGCTTTGGCCACGACAACCCGGATAAACACACAGACAACTTCAACTTTGTAGTGACAACCATAACCACAGCCACCATGCCAGCTGTGGCTACGCGTAGCAAAAGGGGAGGGGCACCCCACAAATTCCCTGTGCCCTTCAGGTGCCCTCCCCCACAAAAGAACGTTGCCCCTTGCCCAAGATTAATTTTAAAATAAATAAACAAAAAGAGCAATGTTATAGTTTGTAACTTGATGCTAATTCCCTTGAAATATTAATGAATACATTAATAGAAAAGAAAAGGGGAAAAGAGCGCCCCTAGCGTCTAGTAAGGTACAGCCCCCCCCCCCCTTTATGGTATTTGTAACAACTGCATGGTTGCAAAAATGTTGGTCAAAAAGTGTAAAAAGAATGCTCTGCATTTCCAAAAAGTCTTATCAAAACTAAGTCCTGCCTTAACTAAACCAACTAAGGCCAACTAAACAAAAAACATGTTTAGCGTCCCCGCCCGCTTCCTTTTTGGAGGCCCCCTCCTTTTTTATAAACCCCAAAATGATAAATTTTAAACAGTGACATTATTTTAGCCTCTTTGTCTTTTGCATCTAGCCAACCCGGTATGTCATTTCCTGAGTCCAAGTGGCGACCATTAAAAAAAAAACTGGCGGTTATCTTGAAAAATAGCCAGATCGTGCGGCCATTTTGGAAGGGAAAAAAGGGCCTCCTCCTTCCTTTTTTTTCAAAAAGGCAGGACGCTAAACATTTTTTTGTTTTATTTGGCCTAACCCTAGTCATACCGTCTAGCCTGAAATAGGCATATGTGAATTCCTCATACCATCTTGTTGTGCCTTCCGCTCTTGTTTAGGCAGGGACATACCTCGATCCGAGGGTTGTCTCGTTTTACACCAACATGCAGCTAACGCACACACCCAGTTGGGCCCTGTTCAAGATCAACGGCAAGTTTCGATGGACATTCATAACTGTCGACACTACGGGCACAGGGGGGTACGACGAGTTTTTGCGTCATCTGCAGGCATCGACAGAACCGCGATACGCAATCTTCACTACTCCCACTGAATGGGGTGTAGGGAATACAATGGTCTACATCTTCTGGTTCGTATTATTTGCATATTTCTAGTTTCCATATTAATAAGCCAAATCCTGGTGGTACCTTCGGCAGACTTCTGTGTGGGCCGTATCATAAGTCCGACGCCTCATTTAAGTCCGACAATGGACTTATGAGGTGTCGGAGTTATGAGGCGTCGGACTTTTGCTGCGTCGGACCTATGAGGCGGAATAAATAAATTGTACGCCTCTTAAGTCCGAAATTTCGGACTTATGAGTCGTCGAACCTATGAGGCGTCAAACTTATGAGCGGACTCTTCTGTGTAACGCTTCAGTGTAACGCCTTGTTTTGTTATAATTGTTGCTTTCTGTAGCTAGTTTGTCGTTTTGTCAGTTGTTCATTGGTTTAGTGACCTTTTAGAAAAAAATCTGATAAAAGTCTATCGTAGCAGTTCTACGTATAACTTGCTGTCTCAAAAATGAGAAATTACGAAAAGAACCAGCGATTGGTTCTTCTGGACATTGCGGTGCTTGACACTTAGAAGTCAGAAATCTTACAAATCTCAAAAATCAATCCTTCTTTAATTCCAGGAATCCCGATGACGTGAATGATTTGGCGCTGAAAATGAAGTACACAGACAACGAAGAAGTACTGACGGAAAAGCTCCATGGAGTTCCTACGAAACTGAATATTGTGGGTAGTGGGGTTGAAATAAAAGAAATAATAATCGCACTGCTAGGCGGTCACATCGAACAGTGGTAATCATATCAGACTATCCAGGGACTCAAACCCAATTATTTTGTTTTGTTAGCATTTAGAACAGCTTTGTAAAGCCTTTTTCGTTATCTTTTATCTCTGAATAATAAGGTAATTTTTGACTTGTTTTGACTTCAATCTCTTGTTGATACTGTAATTACCAAATAGCAAATGATTTTTCTTTCCACGTATCCCAAATTATGTCCACTCAGTCGACCCAAGACAGCTTCTCTGTCATGGAATGTCCTTCAATATTAATTGAAAAATCCGAGTTTTCAAAGTTCTCAAACTCGGTATTTTGGTTTTATTGAATTGATAGATTGACAATGTAGTGGTCGGCCCTGCTGTATTAGTCAGGGGGGAGATCCGTCCACCATTTAAGGAGGGATGGGAGGCTCACTAAACACGGCAGTCATTGCATGGGACGCTTCTCCTTAATTTGCTCTCAATTAGTTGATGATTTATTTAACTACGGTGACATCCAGTATGAGAGAAAGCTTACAATCACAAGAGAACATAAACCAAAAAAAAAAAAAAACTGCAAAGAAACAGAAAAATACTTTTTTGAGTTCTCTGCAGCATGTTTCAAGTCTATAATGTATACAGCAGAAAGCAAGTACGAGTTTCTAATAAGCACATGAATTAACTACTAGTTTAGTCTTACCCTGACGTCTTAAAGTTGACTGGGATGTATGTCCAAAATGGTGTTGAAATTTGTAATGGCTCATTCAGGCCTCTTCCCTGCAATTTTCGAATGTTTTTTTGTTCGGCCCAAAACGGCCAACATTTTTTACTTTTCTCCAAACACGGCAGAAATTCCTTCCAATTTATGATGCAAGAGGAACATCAATCATTATTCGAAGGGCTTAAATTTCGAAGATCACTTATTTTATTGAAAAACAATCATATTTTTGAGTGCAAACTTGGTATAAATACTTTGAATTGAAAATGATCGAATGCTGCCTTTTTTCCATTCGATTCAATGCAACATCTTTTTCCGAGTTTCTATTTAAAAAGTTTTATACCAAACTGATGAAATTCCCGTATACCAATAAAAAACTGGACGAATTGAAACCACTTCAATTCGCTCTTTTCACACTTCCGCCATGGGCATGCAGAGCCTCGATCTGGCAACTTTACACAATGAATATACCCGGTTCAGTGATTCCCGTGTCGGGGTTCAGATCATTGAACCGGCTATTCTTGTTGCGTTAAGGTGATGTGCATGCCCAATGGCGGAGTGTGAAAAGAGCGAATATCAATTTATTTTTTGAATACATTTGTGTTACCTTTCAGAAAGGTCCCACCAGAACCGAAATGTTTTGGCCCACTGGTTTTTTTTTATTTGTATACTTCAGGTCCATCCAGTAAGTGAGAAGTTTGCAGCAGTTGTATTTACTGTCATAGTTTTTTTTAACTGAATTAAAAGTCACTTCGATTTAGTTCAGAGTCAATCATCAAAATAAAGTTTGAAATCTACATTGAACACGAATAGCGGAAAATTCCAGTACTCCCCCAACCTGTTGAAAACCCCACGTACTTCACATCCAGAGGGGCGGGGTCTACCCACTGCATGATGGGGGTCACTTGACCTTCTCTTCCGGCAGCCAGAAGTCCGGTATGGAGGTCAAAGGTTACCCAGAATCCCCGGAACTGACTTCCGCTGACCACACCTGGCGCAGGCACGTCGACTTCGCTCGGGCACAGGGCGCATCGCCGAATGTCGGCCCACTGGTTGAACCCAGAGCCGAAGACGATCTCGTACAATTCGTCTGGGTCGGCCGGTAGGGCGGGGCTTAGACTGACGTGGGCGTCGTGGCTGGCTTGGACCCAGAACTCTAGTCTCCTGACGTCTACTGCAGATGGCAGATAGCGGTAGTAATACGTTGTGTCTGTCACCATCCCGCATACTGTACATACATAAAATGAGGCTGATAAAAGTATTTGGCGTTGACTAAGGGTTGAAGTATAGTACCAGTGATGTCGGCGGGGAAAAAACAATGGTCTTATGGAGTTTGACCCAAGTTTCATTGGAGTCAGTCATCAAAAAGCTAGCACTCCGGTTCCAGCAAAAGAAGAAAAAGAAATGCGCTCGTAAAAAAGTGCCCGTTTTCATGAGCGCCCTTTTTTTACGTTTGACTTTTTCTAACGTGACGCGAACTTCGTTAATTGTGCCGCCATGCGAAGCATCACGTATATCATCGGTGAAAAAACCCTGCATAGCCTACCCTCTAACACGGATGATGCGAGTGACCCTTTTTCACGTCCCCCCCATAAAAAAGCGACCTTACTATGCCACTGCAATATGGTTACCAAAATGAGTGCCTCGACATGGGCCTTATTCACGAGTCGGCCATATTGAATTGAAAGTGAGGTAAAATCTGCATTTTTGGAACTTACGAAGAGAAAGGAAAGCAGGTGCATTACTTAAACATTCAAGTCAGCTTAAATAAATAATTTAAGATTTGTAATTAAACATTCCCTAATGTTTTAAGCCAGATTTAAACAATTATAATATGGAATTATGCGTCGGGGTGATATAAATCAAATTAGGTTTTGCCCTTCAACGGCGTTTAAACAGATTTAAACAAATGAAAGCAACATAAGGCTTCATAAATAGTCTGCGCCATCCCATTCAACGGTTAAAAATTCATGAAATTCATTCAGGGAACACGACAAAAAAGGCTACCTCGTTAATAAGGTCCATAAAGAACGAGTGATAAGTGCCGTGGGCGTAGTTCCAACCCCAAAATGGTTTCTAATTTTTTCGCTGGATTAGTCGGATATAAGAAAAGAGTTAATGTTCTTACCGGATCTGGTGGAGGTGTCATAGTAGTTGCAACCCTCGGCATGGATCAGATCCTGCCGGTGCTGAGCTGCCCCGGCGCTGTTCAACTCGCAAACTTTGGTGTCGTGGCAGTAGTTAAACGACAGACATCCCGTGGCGTTTCCCGCGCACGTCGCGCCGCAGTGCAGCCGAGATTTACCGACGATCCGACGGTAGGCATGCCCGCTGAAAATCGTGTCATCCGGGTCACCCAAAATGGCATCTGCTCGCCGGGTTCCTGGGAGTGTCTCGCTTGTGATTGCGTACGAGTCAAAGACGCTTAGAATTAATGTTACAGTGGCAAAGAAAATGGTTTTTGAAACACTGCACGGTTGCATGGCGTCACCTCATGGAGACGGTCTGCATGCACGGTGTTAACTGACTATCTGAATGCGAGAAACCTGCAGGTTTCTCAAATTTTGCGGAGTCAGTGTGAGTTGCGCCTCGTGCAATTACATGCTAGTGTTATCCTGTGACGTCGTTAGATGACGCTCATATATGTTTATTTCAATGCACTTGTGCACCACTTATTGTTCAGAAAACGCGCATGCGCACCGTGTGATTTGGTAAATGACTGTTTCAAAACAGACAGTGTATGGCACCATTCCGTACCCGTTGATCAGAAGAAAAAAAGATCCAATACATTTCCACAAGTGACCGACAGACAAAACTCATGTAAAGATATGAGAACATAATGAATTTTACAATCAAAACGAGCTCAGAATGCCACATTTTCAAAACCGTTCTGAAAAAAAAGAGATTTTAAATATTAAAAAAATCACGGTCTTCACGAAAACAATTCTTCACAGCCCGCGCAAAATGCCGTAAAGCAATCCAATTGTCAAACCATTTATCTAGTTTGCCTGAACAAAAGAAGTATAATGCCATGTGGATAACGACTATAGATGAAAAAAAAAGATATTATTTTTTGAGTTATGGGGAAAAGCATAGTAATTCAAGAAGGACCGACTCATTCATCGCCGTTTCTTTTCGGTGCAATATTAAACGTACGCCCCAACGTACGTCCACTCGTATCTGGGTCAAATCGTCGTTGGGGGTTCGGTTAGCGGGTCCAAACCTAATCTTGGGCCGCAACAAAAAGATGAATCGTGCAGAAAAAAACACAGTTAAATAAATACCAGCGTAACCCTCTCTTTGCAGCTTACTCAACTCTTGATCCAAACCTAGATCCGCCCCTAAAAGTTGATTAAAACCCGTACCCCGTTGTGACATTTATGGCAGAGCCCGATTGTTGACTCCATATGAAAGCACCTGCTCATCATAATCAGGCAAATCAATCATTACTTGGCACTTCTCATTTAACTGGACGCTGGTTCATGTATTGATTCTGTGGTTCATATATTGATTCAGTGGCTGGGTTTTTTTTGTCAGTTGAGCAGTACGGACCGACGGACGCAATAAAGCAGCCTTTTGTGTCTGTCATTTTCTGGCATCGCTTGTCAAGGAGGTTTCCCCCACCGAATGCGATGTTGTCGCACATATGGTTTCGTATTAGTTATCCTGCTTTAACGATTACAAAAAGAAGGATTTCGAATCACTGAACAAAAAAACTCGAAGTTGTTTAGATGTATGTTATATTTTAATTTGTGTAACTGTGGTTTTTAACGTATAATATGATCATTTTAATGTAATTGTGCATGTTTCTTATTGGCAATGGAATAGAATTTTCTGTATTTTTAAAATGCGGACGCAATCATCATCATCGTCATCAAGTCGAAGGTAATTAATTATTTTTTCCCAAGAACAAAAGCACATCATTTTTTTAAAGAAACTAATGTTGTAATTTAAGAAAGCCATAACCAACACACGACCAGGAAAGCAAGTGGAAGAAACTATTCACGGAGGAATCATCCATTCTTCTCCGAATCGGGTAAGGAAAGTATGGTGGCTTTAAAGGGACATCGAACATATATATTGACGCCAATATTCACGCTAATATTTGCGCCAATATTGACGCCAATATTCACGACATGGACCCAAATCGCAATATTGACGCCAATATTGACGCCAATATTCACGACATGGTCTCCAAGTCGCAAATATTGACGCCAATATTGACGCCAATATTCACGACATGGCCTCCATGTCGCCAATATTGACGCCAATATTGACGCCAATTTAAAATTTGAACAGCAAATTTGAACTAAAAATGGTACATATTTGTTTAAAAAAGCTTCAATCCTTTCAAACAAACCCTGGCATAAAAGGACAGGTTGGCTGGTCTAGGCAAATACTTTTCGCAAAGTTGCGCTTTTTATTTTTGGGACTCGATCGAGTCTTATTAGCCTTCGCTTGAGTCGAGTCGAGTCTTCTGATGAGGGACTCGAGTCGAGTCGAGTCATTTGCTCGCAGTGAATCGAGTTGAGTCGAGTCATTTACCCTTAGGGACTCGAGTCGAGTGGAGTCACCAAAAATTGTGACTCGAGTCGGACTCGAGTCGAGTCATTGACTCGAGTCATTACAACGTTGTAATGATACAAGTCAATGACTCGACTCGAGTCCGACTCGAAATTTTGGTATACATAGTGTTCAAATAATTGTGACTCGAATTGACTCGAGCTAAATATTTGACTCGACTCGACTCGACTCGACCTTTTGACCTAATGACTCAACTCGATTCGAGTCACTTCTTTAAAATGACTCGACTCGACCCGAGTCATTTCTTTAAAATGACTTGACTCGACTCGAGTCACAAAAACCAGTGACTCGTTACAACTCTGGGTCCATGTGCTGAAGTTCACTGGGAAACGTTGTCGTGGCCGGATCCGCGTTTTGCCCGAAATCTACGGGATAATTTCATATAAGTAAGGTAATATTACCTATCTACATGTGATTTTAAGTGTTTATAGTGTATTTCGAGTAATTCTGGTGAATTTGGCAGATTTTTGATAAATCTGACAGATTTTTTATGTGCATTTAGCAGAATTTGGCTCTGACTTTACGGTCACACTGATTTGACGTCTGTGTCCTTGTAGCGAAGGAAGTTCGCGCTAACACAAACACAATAATAAAACGTGTGTACTGTATAGTAAGGTGCGCCAGACAAGTTGCTTGAATTGCCTACCTAGGTTGCTAAAAAAGAAGAAGAATATTCACGCCTTAGTGGGTTTGCGACTTAGGCCATGTCGTGAATATTGGCGTCAATATTGGCGTCCATATTTGCGACATGGAGACCATGTCGTGAATATTGGCGTCAATATTGGCGTCAATATTTGCGACATAGAGGCCATTTCGTGAATATTGGCGTCAATATTGGCGTAAATATTTGCGACTTGGGTACATGTCGTGAATATTAGCGCAAATATTTGCGACATTGAGGCCATGTCGTGAATATTGGCGTCAATATTGGCGTCAATATATATGTGCGATGTCCCTTTAAAGCCACCATAGGAAAGAAATAACTTAAAATAAAAATGACTTAATAAAAACCACGTTCCCTTTATACGCGACGGTGAAATAAAATACCCCTCCTTTCAATTGCACATTCGCCATGAATGCTTTTCATTACACCGGTACCGTTCGACAGATTGCTACATCTCATTTGATGGTTAACCTTCACTCTTGATTGTATTGTGGGTATAATCAATACTGCCATGCTTCTTGCCTTCAACCTTTTTTTTTATCATACTCTGTGACTGTATTGTGATTACATGCACATACGCTATTAAATTATAAGCATCGGTTTACCAAAATCTCTAACACCGTGCCATTTGCAAGGGCGTTGCCAGAAGAATATTTTCAATAGGTGGGGGGAAGGGGTGTCGGACAAATTTTGGCAACAAGTTTGTGTACAAAACATCCGACAAGCAAAACAAAAATAAAAGGTTCCTCAAATTCACAAATTTGGTGACAGAAACATTTATGGGAGGTGTGAAAAGTAAAATTTGCCTACAAACTTGCACCCCCCCCCGAAAACATGGTCCTCGGATTTCAAAATTTGCCGACAACAGTAAAATAATATAAAAAAGGCCCTCAATTTCTATTTTTTTGCCGACAACAATTGTGGATTTGCCGACAGGTGTTTTGAATGGGGGGGGGGGGGGGGGCACACCCCCACACACCCCCCTCTAGCGACGGCCCTGGCCATTTGTCGATCATAAAAAGGAACAAGGACTGCACATGAAGGTATTCGTTTCATTAACATTCACGCTAATCTCATTAATGTTCGGGTAAAAGGTCTTTATTACTCTTATAAGAGTAATAGGTGTTGGGGATAAACAAGACGACGTAAATTGACTTTGCATCGAAAATTATGTATTTGGGATAATTTAAAAAAAAGACTAGGATGTGAGGCATACATTTCAGGACAGCCCTCTCTGCAAAAGACATAGAGCCTACGGGATAGAACCTGCAACACAATTAACACGTCTTTCTGTGGCCAATAAAAATTAAAAAAAATACAGCTGCATAGACGTATTTTGGGTGAACAAAACCATGGAGTGGAAAATATGTGTTAAGTGTAGCGCAACATCATACCTAACGAACATGGCCTTGTGAATATTAGTTATCATACGTTGCACATGCAATATGTGCAACGTATAATATCTTCATTTTTTAATTGCTACATTGAAATTGCTACACATTACAGCAGTCACCGCTGCTTTTATAATGAAGAACACGCTCCTTTTTGTGGTAGTCTCAGCCCCAGACAAATTTAATTGACAAATTAAAGATGTACTCCCCGTGGTATTTTCGAGTTTCACCTCGAAATATAGACAAGTCAATTGCTATTTTTCTAGCAATATGAAAGTTACTCACTTTTGAATGAGATATCGAACGAGCATATCAACCGACGTTTTGTTGTTAAATTATTTTGTTTAACAACATGGGAATTATTGGCTGCCGGACAATACTTCGGCTCTTGCAGGGCGGCTTCATTTGTGTGCGCACAAAAGAGCCAATTTTTTAACAAAAGGTCGCTGACGCCAAAAATCGAAATAGAGTATTTTTATTTGGAAAAAAATATATAAATGCAATTCAGAAATTCGTTAGTAGAAAAACATCTTGGGAAGAGCACGGGGTATGTAACTTCAACGACAAACGAATATCTCTGCCAACGGTGAGCAGGGGCGGATCCAGGAATTTTCGCAGGGGGGGGGGGGGGGTTTCATCAGCAAAAAAATCTGAAAATGTATACAGGTTCTGTCTCCGGGCGCTTGGCCTTCGTAAATTAAACAACTTGGGGGGGGGGGGGGGGGGCTGGTACCATATTTCAATAGGGGCGCTGTTCAAATTCGACGATTATTAACACTAGTTTACAGAATGGTGTACCGTATTTTGAACAGGCGGACATTATATAATTTTTTGGGGGGTGTCACGGGGGGGGGGGTTCGAATTATTTTTTAGGAATTTGTTTGATAATTATTTTTGGGAAAGCGCTGGGGGGGGGGGGGGTTACCCCCTCTGGATCCACGCCTGGGGAGGCGCTTTGACTGCGTTCTCTGAG